AAACTGTAACCATACCACAAATTGTGATCCAAAACTTTTTCATACCATTTCAAACTCAGAAACATTGGCCATAATAATAAAATGGCTTACAGATGATTTTACTTGAAAAAAAAAATACACAGGTACACATACATGTACAGGTAGCAATCCATAAATTTAGCTACTCCACAACCTTCAAAGATGGTAGTCTCTCGCTACAGATGTATCACTTCAAGACTCTTCCTTGACACCATCTGCTATTTTCCTTTTAGCCGGTGTGTGTGTGCGTGTGTGTGTGTGTGTGTGTGTGTGTGTGTGTGTGTTTGATAAAGTGCAAAAGGCAAGAAAAGTCGTGAAAAGTGGACGACGAACAATCAACATGAAGAATAGGCCTTTATGTCAGAGAGTAGGAAAAGGGAATAAGACGTGAATGATGGACAGATGAGTGGGAGGAATATGAGGAGAGAAGGCAGCTAAAGAGCGAAGAAAGCCAGAAGAAACAGATGGGAGAATAAATCGAGACGAGGCGACGAGGGACGGGGGAGGCGGAGAAGAGGAAGTGCTAACGTGCATGATTTCCCTCCTCTCATCTTTTCCTGTAAGCTAGTCGACAGCGTGCATCTAAAGCAGCAAACTGGATGCTTCGTGTAGCTCTGCATCCACACACTTATCAGAGGGGGGCGGGGGGGGGGGGGGGGTGGCCAAGAGGTCGGGTGGGGGCGGGCAGATGGGATGCACATAACATGCTTAAGAAAATGAATAACATGCTCTAAATTGTTTGCACAAAATGTATGCATAAAATGTGGGCTAAATAATGAATGGTGATTTCTTCTTCTTTTTTTATGGAGATACATGCTGTAAGTGGGAATGCCCATATAATTCACCGAAGCTGGCAGACTGCCGGTGGAAGTGCTACATTATAGTTCTTGCGCCTAGCTTGGCAACATGTGACTCAAGAGATCTGCCTTAATGTTGCCAGCAATGAAAAAAAAAGGGGAAATCCAATCCCTGTTGACAAAGAAAAGGCGCTATGCTAGTGTCATTTCATCAAAGTATTATAGGCAGGAAGAAAGACAACAAAAGCATACAAGGAAGGTAAAAAGGCTGAGCATCCATTTTGCGAACAGCTAATCTTCGCTAAAAAGTCTTGTGACAGTTACAAGGTCACTCAATTCATTCATTCAAGCCATTAAATGTGGAATCGAGGTCCTCAAACTGGCAGCGAGTCAAGATACCTACAGAAGTGAGTTTGAATACCAGTTGGGGCTTGGAATGGACACTGTGTACAGTAGCGGTGAACATAGCCCTGCGGGGCTTCTTTTGACAAGCTCAACTCAACGTTGTTTGTCGAGAACAAAAACAACCACAACAGAGAATTTAAAAAGTCTTCATTTTCATGTTCCATGGTGCAGGCGCCTTAAAATTGAGGTTAGGAAAATAGAAAAGACAAGCAATTAAAAAAATACTGATAATAATGACAAGCATAACTGCGGGATGAGGATAAATGTTCCCACGAGGCACTGTAATAGTCTCGCTGCCTCGCAGGCGTAGAAAGAGAAGGGAGTACGAAAGCGCCGTGGAGCCGAGCAAGGAGAAACGGAGAGAAAGATGGACAGAATACCTTGGTCGATTCAATGTTGCAAAAGTGAAATTGACTCGCTCAGTGGATAACCTTTCGATCTCCTTTGTGGTAGCAGCTCGGTAAATGTGTTCAAATAAAAGGCTGAACATAATGGCCGGCACGCCACAGGGTTGGCTTGAAGAGAAAGCAATTACTTTTTCTTGAAAAAGTCACATTTTGGTGTGATATACCACCTCTGAGATTGTGAATATACCAATTAAAAAAACCCTTCTAAGCACAATTTTCAAAAATTTGGTTATTTTACTTCTAGACGGTGTTCCGACAGCTTGAAATGAACAGAAACCGGAAGCTCGTACGCCCTGGAATTTCCCGCTAAAAATACATCATGAGCTGATGTCCATTGTCACAGATGAACACAAGAACCCCGCCCCACCCCACCCTCGTTTTCTCTCTTTTTGCAATGTTTTTATCTACCAGTTCAAATGTTGAGTTTGGCATTTTTTCCTTCACGTGCTTCAGGCCGCTTCCTCTCAAATTAAAAAAAAAAAAAAAAAACGTACAGGACACGCTCGGCTAATTATAGACTCTAAAGGGTCTGCTGTACTGAAGATTTTAAAGTTGATCATTATGAATAGTACTTTATACTGACCTTTGGAAATGGCCCACTCAAACTCAGAACCACTTCCTGTCTTTTTTTCTCTCAAGATGATCCCTTCGTATCACTCTGATCAAAGCTTGGATAGTCGACTTTGGGCTTTTACCAGCCTTCCTGTGTGTGTGTGTGTGTGTGTGTGTGTGTGTGTGTGTGTGTGTGTGTGTGTGTGTGTGTGTGTGTGTGTGTGTGTGTGCGCCATTTTCTTAGTATTCATCATTCATTACTTTACATTCAAGCCTTCGAGGCCTGTAATTAACCACAGCTTTGATGGCCCACATTTCCACCTGCACAATTCCTGTGCGCATGCACACGCACACACATGCTCACAGACAAGAAGTATCTTTGTTGCCGCAGTGAGACAGTCACACAAATAATTGTGCACACACATCACGCTGTCATGCTGAGAGTTTAATGAAAACAAGACAACAAAGACTTTTTTTTTCCTTCTTTGAGGCCAATCTTTGCCTTCAGGTATGTGCGTGCCTGTGTATATGCTTTGCTTCTACGGCTGTTTGGTGAGAGCAGCTCAAGTTTACAAATCTCTCCCTAATATTAAATCAATGAATGACTCAGCCTCAATAGGAGGTGAGCCCCCCAGGCAGATGTAGTCGTGCCACTTATTCATTATGTCAATAACGTGAACGCACTGTGGGCATTTATCTTGACCAACACACACACACACACACACACACACACGCACACACACACACACACACACACACACACACACACACACACACACACACAGGTTCAAGAAACATCTTCAAGCTTCATTTTCCCATCAATAACGCATGCAGAATGGTCGCCATCTTGAACCGGGAGTGTCGGAATAGCTCCACCTCTCCACTTCATTTATTTCTAGTTAAGGTTTGGGGATGAGCAAAGTGATTTTCGTGGGGTTTGTTTGTGAAATTGTCTGACATGTGGCTACAATACAAAAATCAGTGTGAGGTGAACGTATTTCTCCACAGGAAATAGTAAATTGAAAAATAAACATCAGTTCGATGCAGACACCCACATGTAACTAATATTAATATATATCATAAATGAATACATATGTTCTATTTTTATAATATCAATTACCGTACGAGTCTCATTAAAAAAGTAGCATTAATACTAATACACAGGCACAATATGGCACAGTAGAGTATTTAATAGAAAAATACGTTTGAGTGATTGATTTCCAATTTCAAATGACACTGTTACATTAACTAAATAGTACAACCTTTTCCCTGCAGTGTTTTGAAATGTGGGCAAAACTAATTGCAACATATGACGTTTGTCAGAATCATATTGTGTCTCTCCGTGCAAAAACACGGTGACTATTACCAACACGGACAATTCAACAACCAGACATTCAAACTATGGCCGTGTGCGACGGACCTTGGAGGAGCTTGACTGTAAACAGACGAGTAATATGTTCAGGTAATATGTTATTAAAGCCCCTCATGTCTGGTTTCATAATAGATGTTTGTACCAAACCACTCCAGGTCAAACTAGATAAAGAACTCGACGAGTTCTGATAAATTTATTGAGGCCAAACAAAGATGGCGAATGACTGCCGGTTATAGATGGCGGTTATATCCGCGCGACATAAAGGTACATGGAGTTATTATATTATCTCTACGGCCCCAAAAACCTGAAATACAGATTGCCCTTTGAATGATGTGTGGAGTTATGTCGCCATCTCGAGGCCATATGCTGGCAAATATAGGAAGTGACTGCAGGTAGACTTCTATAAACACTGACCGCTCAAAGACGCAGTCACCCAAAGGCTCGCTAAGAAATAAATCACATCAGTACCGTAGTTTTTTTGTTTTTGTTTTGTTTTTTTAACGTCAAGAACACGTGGGCTGCGAGCAACGGTGCAATGGACGTCTCTTACCTCGCGAAGCAGCGATGGCACACATCTTTGGCCACTTTTGTCGACACACAGCTCGCCAGTGGATCGGTAGAGAAAAGCAACTTCCCGCTTTTGATTGCAGTCGTCGCCCGCAAACCATTACCTTTGCCTGGGCTCGCAAACCGCTCCAACATGGGCGCCATAACGTTTGGAAGTCCGCGGGAGCAGACATATGCCTACGTACGCACGCTCGGTGCGTCATTGCGTCATCGCCTGTAGTAGCGTCATACTAAACTGCTTTTCGTGACCGATGCACCCGCCATACGATATCAGAGTACAATAAATGTTATTATACTTTCGTAAGAGGCAAAAGTAAGATGCTTCACTTTCATGTCTTTTACGGCCATATTTTTCAAAACTTTATTTAAATATCGAGAGAGTGCAAGTCGTCATTTTCGAGAGGATAGGACAGAAACGAAACAACAACCGTGCAAAACAAAACGGTTACATCAAAAAGCAACTTAGTTGTTGATCGTATTACCAAAATGATACATACTGTTGGGGGAAAGTGGCTTCAATACCAGCAATTGTATTTCCCGATGCTCCAGTGAGGAAACAGCAGAAAAACTGAAAGCGTTTTTTCCGGAGAACTTTGAGCAACGGTCTCGCGAACTTGAAGTGGGTATTATTAGACCAGTTTAAGCAAGTCAAATAATAACATTATTATTATTATTATTATTATTATTATTATGCACACAATGAACATCACGCCACAACCACAAAACTAAACACTGTTTCATTCAGCAAAAACAAAAAAGTGTCTCAAAAATCATGCTGATGTTTCAAGCCCCATCCAAGTTCAGTGTAGTTCAGTTCAGAGGAAATGGGAGTGACACTTCACTGGAATCAACCCACGCCATTCCAGTCAGACGTTCCCAAATGAGGAAGTCTGCAGCTCCCAACAGACTGACCATTGCGAAGGCATTTATCGAGCTGGATCAAATTGTAATTTTAGTCAAAAATTGAAGTGTTCTGCTCACCGAGGTCAACTAGACTGCTTGGATTAAAAGAGAAGAAGCTCGGTCATTTTTTTTTCAAGAATGTTTGTCATTGTTGCTGTTGTTATTGTTGTAGGAAACATCGCCACTTCAGCGTCTCTCTCTGGTACGTCCTTTAACATGCTGCCATAACATTACTTGCGTATAGATTGTAACATGCTGACGACGTACAGTATACACATACTGTACTTGTTACTGCTTCGTATTGACAACGGAACATGTAGTTAGACTGAAATCTGTGCTGAACTGTCACATAGTATGTGCACAGCCAGTCACACATTAAATGACTAATGTGGACAGCATAACACGACTGCAACATGTATTGTCACACGTGGACGAGTGACATTTACGTGGTTTGTAACATCGAATAGTACATATATTATCTCATGGAGACAAAATGTCGATGGATTGTAAAATTTACTGTCACGTATCGATCAGGGGTCGGCCAAACTTTCTGAAAGTCGGAGACACCGATGCTGATTAACGGGAAGGATACACACTCCTGAAAATAAATGTGATCAACTTCCCATTAATGTTATTAGTTAAGTAATAATTATATTAATTTATGGAAGGACACTGATCACGTTCATTTTTTCTCACAGTAATTAGGAAACGGGTAATAACTTTATGCAACAATTTCTTTCTATAATGCTCAGCCTGCGTCTGCGTTTTCAAATGGTTACTTCGACAACATTCTGAGAAAATCACAATGTCCCATAACGAGTGAGCAATTTTTTTAGGACAGGCCTGCGGGCTACTCATGTGGTCTTTGGGGGTTATGTGGCACCCACAGGCACAACGTTGTTGACCCCTGATGTAGACGGACGAGAACATGTATTTTAACATTTTGACATTTTTTATGCAGATTGTAACATGCAATGTCGTCGCATGAATACATGATCGGCATGATGTATCTACTTTGTACATCGGAACGTTTCGTCAAATGTCATATTATAAACCAGTGCACATATTAAATTTCTGTCCAAAGCCCACAGAATTAAATAAAAATGAATCACCATGTCATCAGCCTGCAGTGACCCATAAAAATTGCAGCACACACATGAAATTCGTTGACCTGTTTTCCGGGTTTTGTCCCATGATGTTCCACAAAAAAATGGAATTGTGAATATTACAGTGCAATATATTAACTATACAATAACCCTTTCATTGTCAATCTCGACTGAAACAGGAGTGAATCTTGATTGCACCAACGACTATGAGTATCGGATGTCTTGTCACTTTGACGCTCCAAACTGCACTGAGTATAATGTGACTCTGCGGAGCCTTGACGGGTATGGGTAAGTCCTGTTGGCTCTACCGCCAAAAAATAAATACTACAATTAATTTTTCAGTGATAATTCATTTCCTTTTGCCTTCCACAGTGAGACCCACTGTCTCCCCGTTCAGTGCGCAAGCGAAAAATGCTGCTGCTCCATCCGTATGCTTCTCATACTTGACGAGAATCACACGGCATTTGTCCGGAGACGTGGCGAATATGTGGAGTCCAAAAACATAAGCGTGAAATACAGCTGTGAGTTCAGCACATAACAGAACCGTCTCCCATTCAAAGTGGACTACAACGTTGAACATATCATAAAACCTGGATTAAGTTTACAAGGCAGTGTTACGGGTAACATTCCTCACTGTCAAATAATTATAATGAGAAAACACATATTACCAATGAAAAAAAAAAGCTTGTCCATCTTTTAAATTTTTCTTTTGGCTATATGCTATTTACATTAGCATCTTCTTAGTCAAAAGCATATGTGTATGTCCTTCATATTGAGGGAGTCGCATAGTGCATATTGTGTATGCGAATAGCCAGACATTTCCCTACACTGCAATCTGCTCTCGTTAAAGTCTTGCAAGATACGGAAACAATTTGCTGATTTAACACCAAGTTTTCAATTGACTTAAGAGTTACATTTTCTCTTTTTCGTACCTGAATTCCCTCTCTCTCTATTTTTTTCCTCCTCTCTGTTCCTCCGCAGTCAAACCCCAAACCCCAAGCATCGTCTCAGTGAATGAGACCAATGGGAATTTTCAAGTCATTTGGAGGACAAACATCAACAAACACCATATAAGAGAAATAATAAGCACACTTCTGACTTACCGCAAAAAAGGAGAAACAGAAGAGGTTAGGAAAAGTGTTGCTTTGCTCACTTCATATTGGTTAAAAAAGACAACGATTTTGACGTTGTTCTCACTTCTGTCAGATGACTGAAGTAGTCAAAGCACCACAAGTGGAGACGCAACTGTGCTTCTTGTGTTTTACCTCTGAAATACTTGGCGCACACTTGGAGCCAAACACAACCTACGTTGTCACAGCGCAGAACTTACTCCCTTGGGAAAGCCAACCGAGTGACCGTAGCGAGGAGTACGAATTTACAACCCGTAAGTCCCGACATATCATCTCACACAAATCCAGAACAATGCCCATCACGCACATAATCAAGAAGGAACAAGTCTAAGTGAAAAGCAACATTTTGGGGATCTTAATTTATAAGATAATGCAATTTTCTTTGCCGTTGCTTTGCTTTTGTGTACTCTCTCATAATCTACTTTGACCTGATTCGCGAGCTTACAGCCAATCAGAGATCAGTTGTCACCAACGCCTGACCCTCTTTTGCTTAGTGCCGATAAATGGCCCATTCATTCAAATCATATCTAAAAACTACAATGATACAAAAATTTCATAATTCTTCACAATTCTAAGCACTTTTTTTTAAACGTAGGGTTGTTTCTGCTTGTATTATGAGTGAATTGGGCAAATTGGGTGCATGTGTGCCTTTTATTTCCTAAAACCACGACTGTGGATGGTATGATCGACGATGACTTCTCAGCTGTGTTCTTTCCTTGCTATACGATGTGGAAAAAAAAAATTTGATTGACAATGACTGTAAAAGACATTATATAATGAAGCGAGAGCTTTCTGAAGGTGTAAAAAACGGGATGGAAGAGGATTGAGACAGTCAATCATTTCATTCTAATCAGCAACAAGGAGGCTGATCTTGAAAAACTTCTCACTTCATCCAAATATAGTGTCGAACGATCGTGTGCTGCCCCCTCTCCGCGGGGAATTGAATTACACCCCAAAACACTAATAATACGGCATTCTTACTGGAGCCAAAGAAATCCACTAAATAGCAGGATCGTGGACTCGGAACTTGCGATGGCGGAGTGTTTACTGTATTTCCTTGTTTCAGTGTGACAAGGAAACACAAATGATACAGTACTTTTTTGACATTAACAGCAGCGTCCCGTGAGAGCCTCCTGCTGACCCTCATCATTACTCTCAGTCTACTCGCCATCACCATCAGCAGTGGGGCATACGTCTGCTATGTCAAGTAAGTCACAAAGCCTTTCACTTTGTCTCCGTCTTATGATACACTGCCGAGCTCCTGTGTGTGTGTGTGTGTGTGTGTGTGTTCACGCGTGTCCTCCTTTGATTGTAGGTGTAGAGCCAAATATTGGGACTCAGTCAGCAGTCAAAATTCCAAACTTCTCAATATCTATCCGAGTAAGGAAGAGGTGAGATACTTGTTGTCTTTAATAAGTTTCATTTTAAAGAGTCAAAAAGTTGACGTGGATTTGTGTAATTTCTTTCCTTTCTGTAGGTTTTGAAGCCTATGCCCCCCATCATCTCATCAATCTATGTTGAGACCCTCACACCAGGGGACCTCAAACCATGGTTAGTGACAAAAGTTTCAAAAACTGTACTGATTTGGGTTATAAAAATTAATTATTGGCTTAACATGGCAAAAACACCTCAGAAAGTTTTCGGAACAGTTTAGCATTGTTACCTGAAGGGCAATGACAAGAAACCTATATGTACTGTGAACTGTGAATGCTGCCAAATGGGTGTGGTAACGGAGTAAGGTTCAGGAGTAAAAATAACATTGTTTGTTGCTAGCATAAAGACGCACTGTATAAACGTATGGCAAAGACTTGTAGAAGATGAATGCAGTGAAGTTGGTGAGGCAAGGCAGTGTGCCATTAGTTTTGTTTTTGTGTGTGGTGCGTTGCCAACCTGGCAATCCACCGGTTTGCTATGCTATGCTTTGCTATGGCGTGGAGTGCAGAGGCCAACTTATGAAGGCAAATGATAGCAGAAGCTCCAAAGACTGAGAAAGATTGTATAACTTGACCTATGACTTGCTTCACCGAAGGAATCAATTTGCTTGAAATCTTGTTGGGACTCGATTTGACTTGCTTGATTTTTTTTTTTTGCCACAGTAACTTGGCACTCACTTTAAAACCTTAACGTCAACACTTGTGACTTATGATTTGTACCAATAAGACTTACTCTTACCTTTGATTTCTTGTTGAGGCTGTTTCAGGTAACCACAGAGTCATTCTGTTGCAGGTCAAAGGGCTCCCTAATTGATAGCAGCACCGAGAGTCTACTTCAAAGCAGCGGAATCAGTAGCGGTCCGTCTTCTCTCAGTTACGCTTGTACGGAGGCTGCAGACATCATTGCAGGGGTCCAAGGGGCGGTCAGCAAAGCCTTAATGAACATCGTCCCGGCATCAGCTTCAACCAACCATCTTCTGAAAGAGTCCAGCAAACCCAACGGTGTCTTGTCCACTCGACCCAGTCCCTGCAATAGCGAGCAACATTCAGGATGTGAAAACGCAGTAACATACTCTTTTATCAGGCCAGTTCATGTAATACCTGAAACTTTGAAAAGTCACGCCCAGTCTCAACTGCCCTTCGAATGTGGATACCAAAGCACGGGAAGTGGGTCGACATGTGACGACAAGCGAGGGTCAGCTTGTGAAGAAAACTCGTTCCCAACCTTGGTGTCTTCCTACACACTGACTCCAGCATCTCGCCAGCAGGCTAACAGAGACTCTGGGAAGTTTTCGATTGGTGAAAACTCAGACGCATCCCTCAGTTGCAGCAACACAAGCCTCTCTGGAGATGTTGAATCCAGAATGGAAACAGGACATGAGGGCTGCCAAGAGATGTTCATCAGTGGGGCTTGTGGCAAGGGGGAGGATGCCACCAAGGAGGGTAAAGCTCTGCTCTGCATCCCTGCGAGTTTACAAGGCCATTTTCCGGTAGATGACAACTACCAAGTCCATCGGTGCTTAAAGGAGCTTCGGGATAGACCATTTGAAGACGAGACACATCTTAAAAATCAAGACTTGAGCAAAGCGTTGGAAAATTACTCAAAAGATGCCACAAAAAGTGATACCGGCTTCCGTGCACACTCAAACCACAGTTTTCTGGTTGATGACAACTACCAACCAGTTCAGTACTTAAGGGAGCTCGCCGATAGTCAAATTGGAGAGCCAAAAAGTAGCAAAAAAACCCTGGACAACATAGGAAATCTTTTATATAATGTGAGAAAAAGTGATACCTGCGTCCCTACAATCTCAAACTTTAGTTGTCTTGTTGATGACAACTACCAAGTGTTTCAAGGCGGGAGGGAGCTTTCTAATCGTCAGTTTGGACAGCAGAACAGTGGCAACACAAATGACTTGAAGAAGACTTTCGACAATTCCTTTGAAGGCGTTTGTGTTGGTGATACCTGCAGCCCTGCAAATTCGAACCCCAGCTTTCCCGTCGATGATAACTGCCAAGCTTTTCATGGTTTAGGAGAACACTCTGATCATCAGGTTGAGGTTGGAGAGAAAAAAAGTGTTGAGAATGAGTGTCTGTTGAAGGATGTAGGAAAGCCATTCAAAGATTTAAGTCAAGGGGATCAAGGCCACACTTGCATCCCTCTAAACCTGCAAGGCAGTCTTCCAGTGGATGACAATTACCAAGTGTGTCGTGGTATAAGGGAGCTCTCCGATCGTCATTTTGGAGAGCAGAACGGCGAAAAAGGTTTGGAGGAGCCTTTAGAAAACTCCTTGCAAGATGCCCCGAAAGGCAATAGCCGCGTCCCTGCAAGCTCAAATTCCAAATTTTGCACAGAAGAAAACTACCTGCCCTTTCATGGATTAAGGCAGCACTCTGATCAAACAGCTGGAGAGCCAAGCAGTGGTGAAAAAGATGACCTGGCTAAAGTTTTCGACACTCCATTAAAAGATGTCCGTACAGGGGTTCAATGCTCCACTTGCGTCCCTGCAATCTTACAAGACAGTCTTCCGGTGGATGACAACTACCAAGTGTTTCGGGGCTTAAGGAACCAGACTGATTTAAAAGTTCCAGGCCAAATAAGTGGCACAAAAGATGACTGGGTGAAGGTTTTGAAAACTACTTACGACGATGCCGCTCAAGGTGACAACCTCTCACCCGAAAGCTTACAAGACAGTCTTCAGGCGGGTGACCACTGCAAAGTCATTCAGGCCTTATCTAAGCAGTGTGATAGCAAGTTTGCAGAACATAAAGAAATTAAGAAAAAAGACTTGAGAGAGGCTTTTGAAATTTCACTACCCGTAATGCCCGGAGGCCCCTCAGGCCCAGTAACAGCTGTGTCGACTGACCATGTTCACGGTCGCAAACATCTCCCTGAGTCCCAAATGCCTTTTTTGCCATCGGTCTCCACTGCCCTCAGAAATCACATGATCATTGAGAGTGGCTACAAAATTGTGTAGCATGGAACAAATGTATTCATTACCTCCTCCAATGCGGTCCTGTGCATTTCTAGCTTTGTACAGCATGTTTGAGTTCACAAATACCTGAACCCATGTTGATGAAAGTTTGTCGACTGTTGGATTATCACACTTGAAAACCTTTTATAAAAAATCTGGAATGGGGTGTTTTGTCAACAGATTTACTTTGCAGCCCTCCTCATTCAGTCATTAGCATCATTGCGTAGCTTGAAAGGCGCTATATAAATCCTGCCCGGTGGATGGATATATATATATATATATATAATTTTGTAATGGTCACTTTTTGTGCTTTGCTCTGTTGTTTAGTTGGATTTATCGCAATTGTGGTATCACAAAAAATATTTCTTTGTATCTGTTATTTTTGTACAGTTCACATCTGCAAATAAAGTTGGACAAATTTGGAGATAAACGGTGTCTCCACCTTTTTTTTTTTGGGTGGGGGGGGGGCAGTACGTTAGGAACTAGTACCTGTACTAATAAATGGTTGTTTGTATACATGTGCGCTGTGATTCACCGTCCAGAATCGACCCTAACTCTCACTTTATATCAGCTGGGATTGGCTCCGGCTAACCCTTAAACCTAATCAAGAACAAGCGCAATAGAAATGGGATGGACAGATGATAATGTAATCCACGACTCACTAAACACACATTCTACTCAAACGTTTCTCCTGGTTTAGTGTATTCTTCAAGACGTATCACATCCAAACTAAGTGAACAGTGAGCAACGAGCCACTCCTCTTATCCACAACTACCGTTGTGCAATCGTTTCCTCATTTCTGGAACAGAAGTGTCATCTTTGTAAAAATAAATTAATAATGCAAACGCCATTTCAGTAATCATCATGAATCACCGTAGATCGTGCATGAAATTCAACTGAGCTTCATTTTACTGCAGTTCCTACATCTGCTGAATCTAATGAGATCCAATACTAGAACTGTATCAACAATTATTTACAGATATAATAATGCAGTTTTTATGAAAGGAACTCATTCAACCATGTTTATTACTAATTATTAATATGATATTTAATGTTATGATGTGTGACCATGAACATGCTTTAAAATTCCCATCATGTCACCGAAAGAAATTTAACAATATGTTCATTATTATTGTTCGTTATTAGTGATACTACTCTGACTTCTGATGTGATCATTTGAATCTTGGCCCTGCTTTGAAAGTCTCAAGGGATGATGTATCACTTCCTGTAACTTAAGGCTAGCCGATTCATCGAATTTTGTGATGAATTTGAATTTACTTGTTGGACAAGTTAATATTTAAAAATCTTTAAAAAAAACCAAAAATGTTTATTGCGCGCATAGGTTCAAAGTGTGTCGCCACTAAAATGCACTGCGTAATCTAACCTGCAAAAAAAACAAAAAAGTTGCATGGAATAATGTCAGTGTCATTTGTCTAATTGTTGATAAAAACTTTTTTTTTTCTAAAATTGGAGATATTATTTTAAGGCAATGAAGCCCTGCCCTACTTGTAACGAGAGAAGACAGATCAATGGCAAGGTTGCCTCCTCGAGGCAGAGAAGGCCTCCGATTGGTTGATTAGAGAAGAATTGAAGCGGAGCCTTTATTTTTGCAAGCCTGTCAAAAATGACTTTGGCTTTGTGACACCTATAGTTCAAATTCTAAACGCATCTCCACACATGCACACTTTCTTCTCAACGCACCTGAAGCCTGGACTGAACATGCAACCGGCTGGCCGCCTGAGACTAAGGATGTGGCTGGAGGAGCAGATCGAGTCTGGGAAGTACCCGGGAGTCTGCTGGATCGACAAGGTAGATCGTCATCATCATAAATTACGTGCACATAATGGACACTCACTGGATTAAACACGAAACACAACTGCACAATCATCAAAATGCTGCCTTTATAAAGAGACTAATGATTTGTATTAATTGAACAGTGACTGCACTGCATCACATTAAGAGCTGTGTTTAATATTTTGATCCGGCCACATTGCATGTCGGATTGCATGCCGGATGGGTTTTTGACACAACGAATCCTATTTGAGGATGCAAAAGTGTTCCTAATAAAGTGACCTGTAAATATTCAATATTGTGTAGAATTTTAGCCTCTTTTTATGACCTTTTTCAGAGCATTCATTTTGAGAATTAAAATATCAGGCAATATTGACAATGTTTTACGGGGGCGGGGGAGTCACAATTTTACAAGGGTAAAATGCAATATATTACATGAAAAAGAGCCTTAATATTATGACAATATAGTTTGCGAAAAAAGTCACTACATTTATATTTTTAAATTACATAATAGTACTACAACAAAAGAGTCTGAGTATTACAGGAATAAAGTCATGTTTAAAAAATAAAGTAAGATTCTAATAAGTACAAAAAAAAGGCCTAATTTTGCAAGGGAGGAGTTGCAGTATCACATGAATAAAGTTAAACGAAATAATAATATTTCAGGACATAAATTCGACTTTCTCAGGAATAAAGTAATAATATCGAATGAAAAAAGTGTAATTTTACAGAAAAAAAAAAACAACAAAAGTAATACTGCATTTTGTTTGCCTAATAGAATGCTTGCCAATGTCATTTTTAACTGATTGTTGCCAAATGAATAAAACCACTACTACTTGCTGAAAAGTGTTTTTTTTTCAATTTCATTTAAAGATGACTTAGCCAACTACAAAAATGACTGCAATACATCAGTTTTATTCATAATATAATGACCCCTCTCTAAAAATCATTTCAAATAAAGGCATAATAGTATGATTAAAAAGTACATTTTTGATAAGAATAAGATAATATAAGAATAAAATTAATATTATGAGAATAAAGTCACACACTATATATTAAGAAGAAAATTCCAAAAATACTAGAATAAAATCTTAACTTTGGCAAAATGTCACAAATTAATGAGAAAAAAAGTCCTAATGTTACAAAATTTATATGAACAAAATGAAAATTATTATTCCACATAAATTCATATTACCAGACTAAAGTCGTATTATGGAAAAAAACAACAACAAATGAGTGGAAAGTCAAACAACAAAAGTTTCAATTTAAAAAAAAAAAGTTTTATTCTGAAATTTCTCAAGTTGAGGCCAAAATAAATACGTATAAATAAGTACCAAAGTATAAGATGTTTTTTTTTCCCTATTGTATTTTGTGATTGCAGTCTAATAAAGACAGACATTATATATGCTAATATTCAAAAACAACAACTGTGAAATAAATACATTTCCACAAAAAGTGCCACATAACATTTATATGTGCGTGTGGAGTGTTATACTGCTTGCCAATGTTGCACATGATGAACGCGCCTTCTCCATGAATTATGTGTGCCTCCAGTCGGAGCAGGTTTTCCAAATCCCGTGGAAACACGCAGCTCGTCACGGCTGGAATATTGACCGAGACGCCACTCTCTTCAGGAGCTGGGCTGAGCACACTGGTACGCCAGAAAAAAAAACTTCCAAGTTCTTATCAAAAAGCTCAAGAATAAAGTACGTTGTTCTAAAAGCATTCAGCAATTAATCAATCTTTTTTTTTTTTTTTTTTTTTCTCTGTGAAACTTAATTCTTCATAATGGACATAAGACGTTTTGGATAATTAAATACTTCCAACATTTTTAGCAATATGAGCTGTCGTTTGTCTGCATTAAATCTGCTAGCTTAATGCTAACATGTAATGAAAACACAGTCGACGGGCGAACAAAACAAGCATTGATATCACGGTCGGTATAAACTTCGAAACAAGTTATACTTGAACATAAATGGTAGCAACACATGCAGACAGACAGTGCTCACAGGCATAAATTCGTTATCCTTTACAGAAAACTACTGTTTACTGCGGTTTGTCTGGAATCATCAAATATATGTATATGTCTGCATTTATTGTAGAAGTTTTAGGCTTCCATTAACTTGTGCATTTTGCATTTACAATTTTACAAGATTATGTGCAAAAATCATTTACAGGAGTAAAGTTGTAACATTTAAAGGGAAGCCAGGTCAAAAATGTTGTTTACAATAATATGTTCAATGCAGGACCATTAGCCTAAATGTGGTATTTTGATTATTGTATTTGTGGACTATGAACTAGGCAGCAAAATCAACCCATTTTTATCCATCTCGAGGGGCAGCCATTTTGTCACTTGCTGTCGACTGAAAACACAAAGACATCACGGTTGTTCAGGCCTCAGTTAACAACCAATCCCGGTTCAGCTTGTGAACATCACAGGAATAAACCCAGAAAACAGGTGACCCATGATTGGTTGTAATCTGAGCCTTGAACATTTGCAATTTCATTTTCAGTCGACAACAAGTGGCAAAATGGCCGCCCCCCGAGATGGATAAAAAAATGCGTGGGTTTTGCTGCAGAATTCGTATTCCACAAATGCAGTATTCATCAGAATGTGGTATTTAGACAAGTGGGGCCACAAAGAACATATTATCGTCAAGACCCTTTTCGACTTGACATCCGCTTTAAGACCAAAAATTGATACTTGTTGTCACAATTTTGACATTCACTTAAAATTAAGATTTTATTCTCATACAAGTTACAATTTTGTGACATTTTCAGGGAGAAGGGGTACTTTACAGGACATGCATTTGCAAGCATACGTCTAATGTTGTCAGCAGCATGCGGAGGAAGTGGATCCTCTGTCACGCTTTGCTCATGTGCAATTGGCTGCATCACTAATGGCCTTGGTCGCTCTCAAAGTGAAGGCGATCATGTTGCACTGTCAACTTGACTGTCCTTACTGGACAAAACATTAGGAAGGCCTGCACAATCTGATGAAAGCCAAATATCTGAAATGTCCGCTGTGTAGTTAACAAACTTTAGATGAGCCTGAACCAAACAGGACGTGTTTAACTGCAGGCCGATACCGTCCAGGCCAACACAAAGCCGACCCAAAGACTTGGAAGGCCAACTTCCGCTGCGCCCTCAACTCTCTCCCGGACGTACGTGAGCTACGTGAGCACAGCAACAAGAGAGGCAGCGACGCCTACAGAGTTTACAAGATGCTCCCCGGCCCCAGTGTTCGCAATAGAGGTGAGTGCAACACACCATACGTTACACATACTGGACGGAGCGACTCTGGCTCTCAGTGAGCAAACGCTATAGCAGTTCAGATCATTGATAAGGTACGGTCAGTAGAACGATCGTGATCAGGAATATTACCATGACATCACTACCTGTGTGACTGCCAAAGAAACGAATTCTCAAAATATCACAAAAATAAGGACAAAAAAATGAGGCAACCAAAAAGGTATGATGCAAAAAATGAAAATATACTACTACATTTAATTAGACAAAACTATAAGAATGAACAGGTGGCACGGTGGTGTACCTCTGCACTGTGAGTCGACCACCGTGCCACCAGAATGCAAAAATATATTTAAAAAAAATATGACAACAAAAAAAACAGACAAAAACGTTTTAGATGAAAAAAAAAAAAGTATATTAGGTGGAAAAATGGGAAAATATTTTACACTATTTCTCCAATGGTAAAAATTGTGTCATATGCAAAAACATATTAGATAAGGTGGAAAAATGAGAAAATATTTTACACTATTTCTCCAGTGGTAAAAATTGTGTCATAGTTGACAACTTTTAATGAGATCCACGTCATAACGTTACACGAAAACGTAATTGCAGTAGGATGTGAATGAAAATTATACTGATGTGACAAACCTTGAGTCACAAACAGTCCCTTCTCTCCGGTCAGGACTCCGGATGCGGAGTCAGCATTTCAAAGAGCAGCAGCACGTCAGACCGCTTGCGCCTGTTGATGCGTCGCCGCAACCGTGGCATGCTCCCAGCGGCGCTTCAAGCACTCAAGAGGCGTCGTGCAGCATTGCTGTGGCGGGTGAGTCGTTCATTTGTTTTGCACAACGTTTTGCATCGCGACCGTGAAATGTGCGACTTGCCTTATTGTTGTCATTTTGCAGACATGTTATTGGAGGCCATGGAGCAGGAGGACGGAGCCAAGGTATCACAGGAGAATCCTCCGGACCTTCAAAAGGTTATTTAGCGACATGAGAGGGTCGCGATATTTGAAATGGTTCAGTATGGTACAGTGAAATTCTGCACCACATCAAACAACAGCGTTGTGTTAAATTAACACTTACAACATGAGCATCAGCGAGAATCAGCGATTTCATCGTTAGATTACCTGAATAAGTGTCTTTCCGACTCCAGGGGAATAGTGTTTCCCCAGTCATGAACCTCACCGCACGCCACTGCAGAATGGGTGATACGGGTTGGAGTGTACCTAATGTTTTGGATGCTGAGTGTGCTCATTGTGTATTGGCCAACTTGACGTTGCTCTTTCTGTGTTTTTCTGCAGCTGGTTGGTCACTTCAGCAGCACTACTGAGTCGTGCAACCACACTCAAAGAGGATGGAGGGCTTACCCACTCTGGGACCACTGGCACTGTAGGGACACACTACACATGTTATGTACGCATGCTTGTGGAGTCAGTGAGACCTTTGAATTTTTCAAAAATACTCCGCGGTCATATTTTGATGAAAATAAAATCGTAATTATGATGATGGAGTTGATATATTATGTGAAGAGTCATTAAAAATCCCTACATATATCAACTTTTTCATCATATTATGTTGTAATATGTAAGACGAAGCCATGAGTTTGAGGGTTAAGTAATATTCGATGAAAAAGTGTCATACTTTGATCAGAAAAAGGTTAGGTTGGAAGTGTGCCATGGTTTTACATGAAACAGTCATAATTTTGGAAAAAAAAATGTGATATGTGAGAAAAAAGCCAAACGTGAATAAGGTTGTAAAATCACATGAATGAAAAGAAGTCGGAATATTTTGAAAAATAAGTTGTGGCACATGTCGAACGCCTGAATGGACTCCAGCCATGCATCCGTACGCCTCTCCTGCGCTGCATTTAAAAGCAATGAGAGGAGCCGCTGCTATTGACTGGGAAGCAAGTTCGCTGTGATCACGCCCACAACGGCGGAAATGCCCGTTTCTAAATGTGTTTGTCCACGAAAATGCCAAAAGAGAGAAAACTCCATGCAGGCACAGTGAGACCTCACTAGACTTGTTCTGGGCACGAAAATACGACCCAAAGTCTTCAGAATAAAGTCAGAATATTTGTAAAATTTAGAGAATAAAGTTGCTTGGAAATCAGCGTCAAAAATACATTTAGGGACATATGAAGCCATCTCTGATGAAAATTGGCTATTGACGAGTGTAATTGGAGTTCAGGGGAACAGCATGGCTCAGATTTAGACCCACTGTCTTCCATGTCCATATTGTTAAATGAACGCCACTTACGACCAGTCATTCCATAACTCAGCATTATTATCTTTGTAAAGGCAGAATTTTGGATCGTATTCTCATTCTGCCTGCACCACACTGTCCAGTTACTGTTGTGTTGTGTTCCCTTAGGTCCAGTGGACGACAGCCTCTTCTCCCTGCAAATAGACAACGGCAATGAACTTGCGTCAGACTGGTCCTTACATCAGCAGACCCTCACACTGTAGCAACATCAGGAACAATGTGTCTGCGTGTGCGCGTCGCGTACCTGATTAAATGTTTTCTTTTCCCGCAAACCCGCTGAAATAAAAGACGTGAGAAAAGATCTTGTTCCAAGCCACGCATTAGCTCATGTTTTAAGTGCTTCCTACTCACGTCGATGACTCCCTATAGCAACAAAGGGGAAAGATCTCATTTCGCATTGTTTGGACTGTCAAAAATTATGGCATCAAGACATTATATGTCCAGTGAAAAGGAGGTATCGCCAATATGTTTTTGTCTTCTATTTATTTGGATGAATAGAATAAAAACATACAGTATGAAGATATTTGCTTTTCATTGGACATTTTTTGTGTCTCATTTAATTAAGTTACAATTTTCTGCCATCGTTGTTTGGGAGGGAAAAACCAAATAACTTTGCGGTAAGAAAACAACATGCTTTTCATACCATACAAAAACATATTTGTATTTTCCTTATCCCCAAAAAATAAATATGAAAAAAAATTAAAAAGGAAAAAAAAATTGTTTGGATGAGAAACTAAATTATTCTTAGAATGACAATGTTTACATTTTATTTTAGTTTAAACCCTTTCATGTACCCTGTAATGTGATAACATTAGTGTTAATATGCAGTTGTACTTTTTCCTATCACCTAATGAAGCTAAGAAAAATGTTGAGGATGAACAAAAAAAAATGGATACATGCTTTTGATTGCACAATAAATAGATATCAGTTTTCCCGATAGTGAAACACGTGTTTCATTATACACCTACAAACCAAGGTCGCGCAGCCTCTACATTGATATTTTTTTTTATGTTAACATTGTATTAACATTTTCAACTATATGCCCCTAAACACTGTAACTCAAAGTTAAGCTTGTTTTTTAATTAAAACAAATCCCAAAGTTGGGAGACATATTTTAAATGCATTCACTCCACTTATCTGCTCTTTTAAAAAATGTTTTAGATGCATTTAAAAATGGACAACGCAGTTGGTAAAACATCAACATGAGACATTTATTTCCCATTGCACAAATGAAAGACAGCATGGACTTTTTTTTTTAATGAAAGGAACATGTCATACAGTGCCGAGGTGGGAAAACACTGGTCTAACGCTGGATTTTATACAATATTGTAAGTAAAACAAAGCACATTTCTTATTGTTGATTTACAGCATGGAAAAAAAAAGGGGGGGAGACATTCAACTTGTCCTCTAGCACGTCCTGCTGTTGAAAAGTTGCATTTTACAGTGGACAGAAAAAATTACAACCCTTTTCAAATTTGTAATGTTAAAAAAAAAAAAAAAGATTTAAATTTAAAAATTTAACTTATGACCTGTTGAGTTCAATTAAAACGTATAGTAACAGGGGAAGTAAAAAATACACGTGTATGCTCTCTTACAACGGGCGATGTGGCTGTGTTTAGACAAGTCATATTCATACCAACGTTAAATTGGAGTCAGCACACACCTGCCTGCGTTTAAAGTACCTTTGTTCAACCACAAATAAAATTAACATGTTCAAGTAGACTTTTCTTAACATTTTTGTCGCCATATTCGACTGCATGAGCAACTAAATGGTGGCGGGTGAGTGCTGACTGCCATTTAACTTGAGGTGAAACGTGATTAGTAAACACCGCCACATCCCCGGTTATAAGGATGTGCACTCCGTTGTTTAGTTTCATGCCACAATTCAAAAACCGTTCATTTGTTTCCGATATGTGTTGTACAGGTTGTAGGTGGCATTCATTCATTTATTTTTTATTAATGGCATTTCAACAGGAGTGTGTAGACTTTTTCCATCCATTGTAATTTAGCATAGGAGTTGGAAAATCAAATGTGAATCACTTTCCACATGCAAAAAATATTGAACAGGAATAAATGGTAGTTTAAACGCTTAAAAAAAGTCTTGCAAAGCATCATGGGAAATACTCGCCATCATGGTAAATACGTTTTTACCTCGGGGGACTAACTAGGGGACAATTGTATCTCTTTAAGAATGGATATAAAGACTCTGGCTGGTATATTTTCTTATATTGCATGGTACAGACACTGACACGTTTTGCTGGCTTTATGGTACAATTACATTCTCATGGACACGTGTTCAACCACAGGAGATACCAATACACAAAAGCACATGCATTCAAAAGATCCCGGTTAGCAATGGCGTACAGAATGTGGACGGTGGTTAACATTCATACCGTTGGTGCGTTCATGAAGGCCGGGCCAATGAAACCGAACCCGCAGCCACGCTACAACAATCAATGCAAAGCAAATGTGCTGGAATCGGATGACGACAAAAACAAGAGTACGGATTTGAATATAGGTCCGTGATGAGGCTGCATTACTTTTAGTAGCTTGAGCCTGACTGAGAAAAACTAGCATATTTCCTCAAACAGTGGCCTCCACTCTAATTAATGAAATGGCTGGGTGTGACTTCCACTTAAACTATGAATGGGGAACCTTTTCCTATCATGGAGAACATTTGGGCGAGGCGCAATTATTTTTGTTCACTTTATCCAGGCCTGTTCATCCTGATGAAATTTGCAAATGGTTGTGGTTGCAAAGGGGACTTCAAAAACTGGGTCGTGGTCTGGTTTGTTTTCAGGCCACAAACAGCAGAAGCCAAACTGTTTTGTGTTCACAATTCCCTCCACTTTGACAGTGGTCCCATTTTCAACCAAGGAAAAACAGAAGCCAGTTTTAGTGAGCAACATTGCGGTTGGCTGGCATGTCGTTCAAGACTAATGAACAAGTTTGTGGATATTCTCAGAGCATTGAATCGTTTGCAATTGGCTTGCTTGGTTTTTCTCTGAGGGGACATTTTGCCTCTCATCTGTTTAGGCTTCATCCGTTCAAGCAACACAGCTTGGGTAGGGCTGCACCAGCCTGAGTCCATGCGGAAAACACAGCTATTCATGCTCCGGGTTGGAGTTAGGGTAAATGTGACCATTTCCAGGATTCCCATTGCTACCGAGTTTGAACCTTGTGTACGAGATAAACGTACAACGTTAAATTGCCCAAACGTTGAGAATTCCTTTATTGCTTGTTAGCAGAGTGAAAAAATACACCGCCAAATAGTGGCCTTTTAGTCTTGCCAAGACATAGCCTGCTGTCTTTTCGTGTCCAATTGCCACCAAATATGAACATTGTGCACACGACTCATGAATGACACTAAAGATTCAAAACATTGAGTTGTGGATTGGTGTACTGTACAGAATTTTACAGACTCGCATTAAAACATGACATTTGAATGTGTTTGAAGGTAGGAGACAGGCGTTGAGACACCTCAACATAAATGCAAACGCAGCACTGCAAATAGCCACAACTAATTAAGACGCATTTAGTAAAAACGTACAGGCTTGGGAATTGCGCATAAATTCTGGCTAAGCTACTGTCTTAGCCACGGAACTTTGTCAGAAACCGAGGATGAATTCCAGCTTTGACTTTTCGATAACTGATGCCCGTTTTCTTTCAGTTGAATAGCTCAACAAAGAAGAAACGCAAGGGTTTCTTCGAAAAAAAAAATCGCCTGTTGTAACACACTCAATATTAGGGTCATGGTCTGAAAAAGCAACAAACACTTAAAAAAAACATCAAATCAATGTCTTACTTCACATGAAGCACTAAATAAGGCCTTGGGACACTATTTGAGGAAATATGGTATCATGGCACGCAGTAGAGAGCAGATAAATGCCAGACAATCTTAATCAGCACTTAAAAGTGTATAAATTCATTGATACCCTCTTCCCCCTTATGTGCTTTAATGTTGTCATTAAGAGAAAAAAAAAATCTAATAAGAGATCACACCTGAAATAAATATACTGGAGCCATACACATGTTCTACCTTTGGCCCATGCTCCACCCCTCCACATGTTCTTTTTATAATATCCGACAGACAAAAAAAAAAAAAAAAAGGATGGGAAATTTAAAAAAAATAATCATAAACCCTGGTGGAGGCAAAAAAAAAAAAAAAAAAAAAAAACATCAACTATAAACTAAGACTAAAAGGAGGGGGAGAACACTGTCACCTGACTGGCACCTGACCAACTCACTTGTGTGCGGTGGGGGCACTTTCAAGTTCATTTCAGCTTTCACTATTTCCTGGATCTTAAAAACATATTTAAAAGAAAAATCTACTTAAACAACATTATCCTGAGCCGTAAAAAAAACAACAAATCCCCCCGAAATAATAAGAACATGACGACAGATAAGGAAGTTCATAGTTTATTAAAATTCTACATGATTTTAATCTATGAGTACGTAGATAAAAAAAAGCGTAATTCCTAAGCAGGCGTGAGTGTACATGGTGTATGGTCCAGTGTACGCGACTCAATTCAAGTTTAGTAGAAAACAGCAATCATTAACCCTGCAGACGATTCAGAGGATCATGCGACGTCTCCGAATACGAAAACAAACAAACAAAAACCAACATCTTGCTTTGCTACCTCCACCTGTCCTTTGTCAAACCTCTGAGAGAGAGAGCGAGAGAAAGTAAAAAAAAGAAACAGACAGTTCCACGTCTCTGGCGTGGCCCAGCCACCGTGAGGTCGGTTTGCAAATGTGATGATAAATACAGGCATCCATGTGGGCAACGAGAGTGACAGAGTTTTCCTCATTTATACACACACACGCCCGCACGTGCGCTCCCAGACACGCACAAGCATACGTCTGACTACGACGATGAGCATACTCAATAAAGCCTCCTCTACCTTCTCTCTATTTTTTAACTGGTACTCTTTACAGTGCAACAGCATGGCAGCAAATGGATAGCAGTGCTTTCATTAAAAAAAAAAAAAAAAAAAAAAAAAAAAATTTAAGGAATGGAATGGAAAATAAAAAATATATATACAACATTATGGAAAAGCAGTACTTTTCTCTTTTGGTCCGGCGTCTGTGAAAGACTGTGAACTGCTTCCTCCTATAAACAACAGTAGTAGTTTCTGCCACACTTGAAGGGCTGTGATGGGGAAGAAAAGAACACGTTAGGATGCTCCCATATGACAACAAAACAAACGAAATGATTTTTGAGGACACCTTTTTATAAAAACAGACAGATAAAAAAATGGTTGGGACTCTTAACGTTCAATCCCAAAGACGTATTTTATAACTTACGAGTCCAGAGATTCAATTCCTGGTCATTATTTGTTATTTTATTTTGCAAATGTTATGGTAAAGGAGGGTCCGAAAATGGCGGGCACTGAATGAGTTCACTCAAACTCAATACAATAGGGTTTAATAATTAATGTTAGCATTTAGTTGGAGCCAACACAAATACACAATTAATAATAATACTTTTTGCTGAGCAACCAACACTCTAAAAAAAAGTTCTGTTTCCTGTTTGATGGTTATCACCACATTCCCCCATCACCACACGTGCCCTACCTGGCACCATGTCAACCCCCCCCCCCATCCTAAAAAAAGGTCAAACAACAACAAACACTTAACCCTTATTAAATTAACTGCTGAAATCTGCTGCCATTCAAAAGAACAATGTTTTGAAATGGCCCTCTAATATTTATTTTTACTTTTGAGGCCTTCTGCCGAATGAAACAAATTCTATTTCTTTCATTGTCCTTTCTTTCGGTCGATATAATATTGATGATTCAACACCCATATCGCAGAGCACATGCTTTTCCCAATACTTTGCAGCCCTACAAACCAGCTCACTTGGTTTATTTTCTCACACAGACACAATCAATGACAATGAGATTAGCGGCTGAGTAACAGTCACAAGGCCAATGAGAGACACATGAGCAAAACAGAAGCAAAGCGGCAGGGTTTGCTTCAATTGAAAGGACATTTGTCAAGACGCTCCTTCATCAACAGGAAATGCAGTTGGTTTTGTGAACAAGTGTGGGCGGAATCACAACGTGAATATTTCGCCACGGATGAACACCGAGTAGATAAATCGTGATGACGCTCCTGCCCAGTGGTCTTAATGTGACAAATTAAGGTGTGGATTTGGATGAGCACTGCGGACACAACAAAGACTGACATTTGCTAATGTTGGACAAAAAAAAGGAGGCTCAGAGGGGAACGAGCCTTTTCCGTTGCCGGTCCCTCCCTTTGGAATGACCTTCCATTAAATATTAGAAATGCAGCCACTGTCCATTTTAAAAACTCATCTTAAAAGATAGTTTTCATATTTTCTGTGGCTTTTGACTCATAATGAGGCTCAGCTTTCTGCTGTATTTGTGTTATGAATGGATTGTTTTCACTGTCTTTGCTATCATCTGCCGCATTTCTAACGGCTGTCTTGGTTGTTTTAAAATGCAAATGAAGCTGTGTTGAATTTGACGCGCCATCTTATTTCTACATGGAGCGGTGTGTGTGAGTCTGCAAAAACATTCTCTGTGCTAAAACGAAGCAAAGACTTTGCGTCAACGTTTTCTGTAATGAAATTATTCAAGTAATCGTTTCAGCCCTGGTATGCCAGTTCAGAATGTTCCTGAACAACAATGGCTGTAAAGTTAAAGACTTGATGACAATAATGGCCATTCACGCCAATGAACAATTTCGAGTCTTTGATGCATGTGTTTGAAATTTAGGAGAAAACTGAAGCAGCCATGGAAAACCCAAGCAAGCACATGTACACAACACATGCAAACTCCACAAAGGAAGGTCACAGTTAAGATTCAAACCCCAAAGCTCAGAACTGTGATGACAGGGTGCAGCCCCAACTCTGGAAACTATTATTTCGATCATTTCCTGTGAGCGTAACTTGCTTCTAAACAAACTGGAGGTTGTGTTTAACCTTAGAGGCTCCAGTGGAACATTTAAATCACCATGTTGGGCTGCTAGGGCAAACACTTACACCTCAAGTCAAAGAAACAGACACACGTGCCTCACCTCATAATTGTGAGCCTTCAGAGCCACCGTGTACGTAGCCGCCTTTGGACTTCATCTGGGCCTGAACCAGATCCACCTGCAAGTGTTCAGTAAGCGGCTTTGAGCAAGCGAAACCAAAGCACACGAACACGACTTGGGTGGTTTATGTGAGAAGAGTTTTTCCAAACCTACCGACGGCAATCCCAGGCCCATGTCACCCGAGCCGACATGCGTGGTATGAACGAAGTTTGTTGGCTCGCCGATCATGGAGCGGTCAATCCGCCGCCGCCGTTTCTGGCAAACAATATGTTGGTTTTTGAAATACATGAACTAACATTTTATTTTTTGCATTTCACGTTACAAACTATAAGAGGAGGAATTCAAATCACCTAACAGAATCAGTCGCCTTGAGATATATATATCCATATTTCTTTTTTTTTTATTTTTTTTTTTATTAATAGCAATATACAAGATTTCTCAGGGTCCCCCCTGCAGTTATGGAGTCAAACTGCACTTGTAGTATGGAGACAATTTGCATTTGTTAAATAACAAAAATATCATGCATTGTATTAAATAAACATTATGACCATTTTGGTGTGTGACAACTACGAAAAAACATTGCACAGACTCTGAACAGTAACACTGGTATTGAACATGAGGTGTGCCAAGAGGTCCGCTAATATAATTTCCAAATCAAGTTGATATAAGAACAACAAGGTTTTAAACTCTCCTTAACAGAAGCCAAAGTAGATTCAAAACCATTTTGAAGCTAAACCTGTTATTACATACTGTCGCTTTAAACACACCACTTCTCATTTACCCACAAATAAATATCAGAATTGTATGTTTTGTTAGTTTGTACAAGAAATTATAATAATGTTAGCGGCAATGAGATGTGTGTTGGCTGCTCTGCCAAAATGACAGACACTAAAGTAGGTGATCCGGAGTTGTCATTCTTTTTATGATAAGCCAGTGCAGTATTTGAATTAATATCTTTAAATACAGTTTTATCAAATGCACACATATACGCTTAAAAATTGAGAAAACCCCACATTTCGTACAAAGGAACATGCAGGAATTCTATATTTGTCCGTATAGAAATTGAAATGTAGTATACTTACAGGCTGTGGCTGCTCCGCAATACAGCAGCTGAAACAAACCCAGAATTCAGTCATTCCCAGGCCACTGACAACGCCGCTGTCGCAGTTTCCTGTTTGGGTTGAGCCGCCACTCGCGTGCCTTCCTGTCTGTCTGATGTCAGCACAGCCGCAGACGCACGGTGGAAACTGATGGCGGTCACTCCGGGACAAATGTTTTCTATGAGAAGCTTCTGCCCAGTGCAAGGAACTCCCTCCTGACCACAAGTTGTTTAAAATAAGTATCAGAAGTAGCTCTAATTTCAAATGACAAAAGGTGTACTCTGGCTAATAAAAATGCTATTGACAATTCTGATAGGGCTAGCAACAAGATCACAGCTGAACCTCTAACAGTATGAGGACTTTTAATGCAAATTTACACGCTTGGAATATTGGTTTCCAAATACTTAGAGCTAGTAGTTACACTTAGCATGACTGAAAAATGTGGAAAGAATACACCAACGTTTGGAATAACTGACACAGAGAAAGAAATGAGGTCGGTACAGTAAGTAGCAGATGAACATGCGCAGCGACCTACTATTGACAGTCAATAACACTCACATTTTATGGAGGGAGGGGTTGATGTCATAAAGAGAGTGTCTGATTACATATAGCATTTTACAGAGCGAGCGCCATTTGACCTAGCGCTCTATAGCTCTTTACAAACATTTATTTGAGGGAAAAAAAATGACCCAAAATGGAAACGCCATGCGATGCGAGTTGAATCCATGTTTTTCTATAGCAATGTGACAGGGAGGAAAGAAAATTGGAGGAATGTGAAGGGAAGGCTATGTTTGGAGGGAATAATTGAATTTGAGAAATGCCCCAAGGGATGGGCCATGCCTGGAGAGAAGAGCCAACTGGTAGATTGACACCATTTTAGGGTGGGTGGCAGACATCAAGTACAAAAATAGATTAAAATAAGAAATACATGTATTCACATTCAGATTTGTTCATTCAGAGGCGTGCTCAGTTACGACAAGGAACACATTCAGTCAGGGACTGCAAGTACAACTATCTCGCATTCTAGCTACTAGTTTATACCATAAAACAAACACAGTGCAGCACAGCTTCTGGCTAGCGAAAATCATGGCTTGTGATATGATATCGTCATATCAAACTCATTGTAACAGCATCTTGCCAAAGCAGTATCAAATGTCACTATTCGTGTTATTATCACATAATCCTTCAAACTGTGCAAACTCTTGTTGCTGTCGCACTTGCCTAACATAGGCAAGTTTATTCATTCATTCATTTTCCGAACCGCTTGATCCTCACTAGGGTCGCGGGGGGTGCTGGAGCCTATCCCAGCTGTCTTCGGGCAGTAGGCGGGGGACACCCTGAATCGGTTGATAGCCAATCGCAGGGCACACAGAAACGAACAACCATTCGCACCCACACTCACACTTAGGGACAATTTTGAGTGTTCTATCAGCCTGTCATGCATGTTTTTGGAATGTGGGAGGAAACCGGAGGACCCGGAGAAAACCCACGCAAGCACGGGGAGAACATGCAAACTCCACACAGGAAGGCTGGAGCTGGAATTGAACTCGGCATCTCTACAATGTGAAGTCAACGTGCTAACCACTCGACTACCGGGGCGCCCTAGGCAAGTTTATTTCCTCAAATATTATTTGTGTTGTAGTTTCCTAAAAAAAGAAAATGCTATTAAAACTTTTTATTAATTTTAAAATACGCAGTTATCATGTTCACACACTGTTTCTTAAATGTGCTCTGAAGTGTCCTGTGAAACAATAGTATAAAAATAGTGTTTTTGTGTTTTCATACGCTATTTTTAAACAATACGTTTCCTTGATTGTTCTTGATTCCTACAACTTCCTATGTAACAATAGGGAAATGTGGGTCCCAGAAACAATGAGAACCAATGGTCGAATTGTTTCGACTCTGATGATTGGCATCAATTTGACACTTTCTGTGGAGTGAGGAAAAAAAAGATCCCTCAAATGCGAAATGGTCCCTGGTCCTAGATATTTCCCTATTTGGACCTATGCCTATCCACTTTCTCCCCTTCTCACGCAGCTCGTTTTTTGTGAGGCATTTTATTTCCTTTAGTTTATGGTTTTGGACTACATCATGTAAGTCAATATACATATTTGACAAACGTTCACGGGTCACTAATGTTGATAAACGAGTTACAAATACAGAGGTCGATTTATTATCGAACAATGAACAACTCGTTTAATTTAAATTAATGCAGCTCTGGGTGGGTTATTTGACACGTTTCCAAACTCAGATTACCACACAAACCCGTAATTTGTATTTAAGAACACGGTGTTATGTAACTGTGTACCACGGTGACAAATAAAAGCCCGCTTCAAGCGGAGAGCGTAAATAACAAATGTCACTACGTTAAATATTTTAGATAAAGCAAAGGAATGTTTAATTTGAGGCGTGTTATATTCGTTCACGTTTAAAAGGTCAAAACGCGCGGTAGTGTCTGAAGGGGTTAAAAGGGTTAGCTCGCTCGCCGTTTCCTCCACTGACAGCTAGCCTGTCGTGCTAACTTAGCCCCATTTCCGATAGGACACAAATAAATTGACGATTTCAAACAGCAAGTACTTCAAACAGGTACGAGCCTGCATCGCCGTGAATTGATCGCTTTACATATATACCTTTACCAAATGGTAAATGATCTTACCTCACGGTGACTAGTTTGCCCGACTCATACGTTACTGTCGACTGCAAAGATAGAGAAAGCGCAGAAAAACACCAGGAAGTACAATGTTGAGAAATTTCGTCGACTTCCGTTTTAAAGTTTGACCACTTCCGTGTTGATCCACGCTTTGCACGTTACTCGTGTGGGTTCCAGTTCTTCCAAGATTAGCGTTCAAAATATATTTATATTTATCTGAAAAGATGAGGCCGCTTACAGAGGAAGAGACGAAAACGTTTTTTGAGAAGCTGTCGAAATAGTAAGTGGAGCGAGAGGACATTTTGATGCGCGTTGATCACTCTGTGGATTAGCATGCTAGGCTATACATGTGATTAATATTTTATATTTTTCTCACTTAACAGTATAGGTGAAAACATAAAGCTCCTCGTGGACAGACCGGACGGCACGTACTGCTTCAGGCTTCACAACAATCGCGTATATTACATGAGGTAATCTATGACTAACACGATTTAGAGCAGGGGAAGAAAAATAATGTGTATTCACTTATTGAAAATGATATGATTGATTGCAAATTATTGTAAAAATCACCAAGTGAGACCGCAGTTTGAGAAGCACTTGTTCAGATGTACATGGAAACCCCTCAAGGAATTATCAGTGATCAATCATTGTTTTGTTTCCACAGCCAGAATATTCTCAAACTATCGACAAACATTTCCCGGGACAAATTGGTGTCAGTCGGCACTTGTTTTGGCAAATTTACAAAGACCAATAAGTTTCGGCTCCACATCACAGCTCTGGATTTCCTGGCGCCCTACGCAAAGGTTTGTTTCATTCGGACTTTTTAATATTGCAGTTTCTGCCTTTGGAAATGGTGTGTCATGAACCACTTAGTACAGTGTGAACAACGCAGCTTTAAATGACACGAACATTTCCAGCTGACAAAGAGAAGAAATATGCAAAACTAGTTACTTTGACAATGCCTTAAACTATGTAAAATATGTTATCATGCACAAGAAGGCACGCTCTATCACTGTTGCACTTATGACCTTCAAGTGTTTTTCCATTGATTTCCTGCTAAGTTGCTGACAAACTATGGCATATTCTGACTAGAAAACCACCTTAATAAAATGGATTGTGTTTGAGAATTAAATGCATGGGAAAACACTCAAACACTTCCACTGACTCTCATTAGATTGTGTGTAGCTATACCTAATGTTGCACTCGTGTGATTTACTCGATCTTCATGAAGTTTAAGGTGTGGGTGAAACCTGGTGCCGAGCAATCTTTCCTGTACGGGAATCACATCCTAAAGTCCGGTCTGGGGAGGATCACGGAGAACACCATGCAGTACCAGGGTGTGGTGGTCTACTCCATGGCTGACGTGCCCTTGGTAGATAGTCTCCTCAGGCTTCATGTTCCAAGATGTTCAGAACATATTGAGCTAATCATTACATGGTATTGTTTTTTCAGGGGTTTGGAGTGGCTGCCAAGACGACGCAGGAGTGTCGGCGAGTGGACCCAATGTCCATAGTCGTGTTCCATCAGGCTGACGTGGGCGAGTTCATCAGGAATGAAGATGCATTAACATAAATCAAGATTTTTATCAATTGGACTGCAGCTGCTATTGATTTGACAAATGACACCCCCCTAACCCCACACACATTTCATCCACGTTTGTTATATTTACCAAAAATCCCATTTGTAATGATTGGAGTCATGTGGTAAAATGCAACAAAGGCAGCATGGCGAAGACTAGTTAGCATGCCTGCCTCACAGTGCAGAGGTGCAGGATTCGATTCTGACTCCAGCCTTCCTGTGTGGGGTTTTCATGTTCTCCCCGTGTCTGCGTGGGTTTTCCCCGGGTACTCCGGTTTCCTCCCACATTCTACAAACATGCATGGCAGGTTAACACAACACTTTAAATTGTCCCCAGGTATTATTGCGAGCAAAAATGATTGTTTGTCTATGTGTGCCCTGCGATTGACTGGCAACCTGTTCAGGGTGTACCTTGCCTACTGCCAAAGATACCTGGGATAGGCTCCGGCTGCGACCCGAAGAAGATTAGAATATGGATGAATTGAAGGTTCTATCAGTTGGACTGCAGCTGCTGTTGATTTGACAAATGACCCCTGACCCCACACACAACCTTCATCCACATTTGTTACATGACATTTACTATAAAGCCTATTTGTAATGATTGGAGTCATGTGGTGAAACAAACAAAGCAAAAATGTTTTTAAATATAAAAGAATGGACTTGCCGGCGGCACAGTGGGCGACCTGTTAACAGCACGTCCACCTCATTGCAGAGGTGCAGGGTTCGATTCCGGCTCTGGCCTTCCTGTGTGGAGTCTGTACGTTCTTCCTGTGCCTGTGTGGGTTTTCTCCGGGTACTACGGTTTCCTCCCACATTCCAAAAACAGGCATGGCAGGTTAGTTGAACACTCAAAATTGTCACTAATGCGCTGCAATTTACTGACAACCAGTTAAGAGTGTACCCCGCCTACTGCCCGAAGACAGCTGGGATTGGCTCTGACACCCTGGGACTCTCGTGAGGAAAAAGCGAATTAGAAAATGGATGTACTTATAAAACGGACCCACACATACTTATGGCTGTGTGTGTGTACGCTTGTGTATATATGTATACACACACACTGACATTCTGAGCACAAATCACTGTAGCAGGAAATATAGTTGGAATTCATGCAGGAAATACGATTGTTGCAAACACATGGACTACATTTTAATAATTGCCACAATATCTATTGGTTGGCAACACTGAATACAAGTTGCTGCTCTGGTTTGCTTGCACTGCTGACACGTGCACATCAAAATAAAACCAGCACATATTTAACAATTAATTTAGACTTTAAAAAGGCTGTGGGGCCTGCTCAGACTGGAATGTGGCTCGCGAACTGCACGTTATTCAAACGTGATCAAGGGTCAACTGTGAATGTGCCTGACCTATAAATGCCATGGTGGATACAGATTCATTGTATCATATATCATCTATTAGAAGAGCATTAGTTACCCCTGCCACCACAAGTCATTCAATAATTCTCAGCACTGATTGACTCTCGTTCACCCAAAACAGCCACTACAGACTAGTGTGACAAGGTTACAAGAATACTTCACATTTATTCAACAAGCTATAAACAATTCCACATTTGTGGTTGGCGTTAAGTAAAAAAACAAAACAAACTTGCAAACAAAATTTAAATGGAAGTAAAAGTCAACTTAAACCAAGTTTTGTTTTTTCATTGTCCTCCATCTGTCTTTAAGATGGACATTTGTCCTGTCACCAAAGGAGTAATAAGACTTAATTTTGTGCCAGTTGCCCTCTCCAAATTTTTTGACTCCCTCCTTGAGCTTGCGGCTTTCCTCTTCTGTCCACATCTGTAACACAACAGTCAAATTACATAATAAAAATATTTAAATACACACACACACACACACACACACACACACACACACACACACACACATATATATATATATATATATATACATATACACACACACACACACACACACACACACGCACACATTTATATGCAAACATTGTTAAGTTTAAAAAAAGGAAATAAAACAACAACAAACAAAAAACAAGATCAATAAATTGCTTACCCTTTTCTTGATTCCTGATAATGAACTCCTGTCGGATGAATCTAATTAAAGAAAAACAATGAAAAAAAAAAAATCAAGACCTAATAACACGGTAATACCAAATGGATTTTTTGCACTTGTACAACCATTGAAAAGCGCCTCTTCTTCAGCCCAAGTGACTTTGCTCTCCTTGGCATTGCTGTACAGCGCCTTCCTGTCAACCAAAGAGGCTATGCTAAAGAAGCAGCAGGTTGCATGTTCGTCTGACAGTGATTCCCAAACACAGTTAAGAGACCATCCGCTGCGCAGTGAGAAATTGTCCAATTGGGTTTGAAAATCATTTTTCGTTGACAGCAAAATCTATCTATCTATACCAGCAATGTATAGAGACAGGCAGAACTAAATACCACTCAAAGGCAAAGGGTAAGTCATTTAATTTAAAATTCTGAGTAAAATATGAAATCATTATTGCTCCAGTATGATGAACCCCCACTTATGCAAATGACATTTGCCTTTTCAGATTGTTGGGGGAGAATCTATGTTTTCTTTCTTGCTAAAAACTCACCTATTTGCTGTCTTTGGGCTCCGTCAAAGCCGTGTCCGTGCCTTTTCTGTTGTATGAATGGCAACAGGTGGAGACAAGTTTATTGGACCTTCTGTCATCTAATGAAGAGCATTGAAATGTTCTGCCTGTCACTATGTATAGCTGACAAAAACACGAATAAAGATATATTAGTGATTAAAAAAAAAAAAAGTAATTTGAAAAAACGAAGGGAAAATGTTTTTTTTCTGACGGCACTCTTGTTGATCTCTCACAGCACACTTGTTGGGAATCACTGCCCTATCGACTTAAAAGGACATGTCATCAAGAGGAAAAAAAGAAATGCCACACCATTAATGGTTTCAAGTCAGAACATTTAGCAGGTAGATCCTCAACATGCCACTCTTAAGGTCCCATAAGTACACCTAATATATTTTTCACCCGAAAAAAGAATGGTTCTCTGCTGAAAACAACTAACCATTTTGCACGGGAGGGGTCCTTGTTGGGAGTAGAACTTTTTTGAGCGGTGGGGCATTGATGATTCAAAGGCGAATTGTCCAGTGATAAGTCTGTGATTACGACGCCACCTTTATTTCTGAAATACCTGCAAGAATGTTAGGATTGTTATATATCCCCCCCAAGCAGAAACAATCTGTCATGCGGCACAATTTGCACTTACTTGCTCGTCGGGGCGCTGCTGCGTTTTCTCGCTGGAGAGTTGTCGCAAGCAGGAGAGTCCGGCACAATGTCGACATTGTCTGATGGTGACTCTTCCGATTCCGTGCACTTTCTACATGTGCATACACGTCAATAAAGAGAAGACTGATAAAGGAACTGTTGTGAGGAAAACAAAAAAAAAAAAAAAACTTTCAATGCTTTTAAGAACATTGGCACTTACCCATCTGGCAAAGTTGGGATATGACATGCTCCTTCTGAGACTTGCTTGCTAGATGCTGCGCTAGATGTTTGTTCCTCATGTTGTGGAGATGCCTCAACATCACTAGCGCAAGATCAAGAAAGCAAACGTTTCAAATCCTACAATGGTGAGAAACTAACTAATTGCAAGTTAGGGTGTCGTTCTCTCCTGCAAGTGTTAGTAACACCCAAATTATTCGTGGATTACAATAACTGGTTCAATGAACCCCATCATGTATTTTTTCGCAATGTCAGAGGAAAATTGAATATTCACATGCAAATATCCCCAACTCGAAAACAGATCTCAAGTCACGTTCCACGAACAATTTTACCTGCTCTTTGACAATGCATCTGTGGTGGCCGATCGAGGTCTTTTCAGCGGGACGCCCTCCATGTCCGTTTGACAGGCTACAGTTTGCAACCGCGCCGGCTCATCTGCTCTGACTGCAGCCTCTTGCTCCTGAGAGTTAGCAAGCAACAAGCTTGCTTGACTGTCCGGTTCCATAATCATCTTCGCCATGTCGTGAAAGTTCCGTTTCCTTGTCGAGACCGATATTGTTTTCCTGGCTGTGTTTTGGGTTGAATTGCTCTTGGACTGGGGAGGTGCATCTGTTTGTGTGGGAGGGGCGGCTGGGGCAGCTTCAAGGGGGCTGCCAGAGTTTCTCTGGAAAAGCTCTTGGCTCTCCGAGTTTGCACTTGTGTCCCCTTTGTCAGGAGCTGCGAGAGTGGCTTCATTTTCAACTTCTTCTTCCAGCTGAGAAAATGGTATCGTGACCTCACCCGCAGCCAAAGCCTGGTAGGCAATGTCAAGTCTCTCCTTCGAAATAACAGAATGGTCACTAGAAGTTCGAGGAGAACAATGCGGAGCTAAGTGAACACATTGGAAAATAATGGCCGATTAAGATATTCCTGATCATGAAGTAAATACCGTACATTCCAGTGAATAAAATGCATCTGTGCATATTATGCTGCCCCAAAATCACCCTTGAAAAGTTTTTTTTTCTCTGTACTAGTGTATAATATGGTCCTTAGATTTGCTGCTATCCTTTATCAGAGTGAGTAATACGATTGAAGAAAGACTCAAAACAAAGTCAAAATGCTTTTGAATTTTCTTTTCCCATACCTATGATTCAGGTCTTTCAAAGTATTTTTTAAATTATGTTTTCAAATATCCTGTTCTTCCACCGTTCGTACTTGTGGGAAGCTATTTAATTCTCTTTATTTTGCTTTTAAATCTTTAACTGACTGCTTTTTAATGTTGCACTTTTAATGACAGTATATGAGGCATATTGAGTTACGTTGTATGGTTATTTTCTTTTTTTTTGTCGTCAAGTCAATTGGAGCGCATGACAATAAAATGACTGGCTAAATCTATTTATTTGCCACTGCTATTATGTATACAAAAGCACAATATTGTTCTTTCTTTTTTTTTTTTAATAACAATAACCCGTGTTTAAATATAGTGAAATATTTTCGACTGCCAACCTCCCCCCAATATCGTGCAAATTATCATATCATGAGGTTGATTTCCTTTGTTTTGATTTAACATCTTAATGTTATGCCAATGTGACAAATATTCGATATGTTGTTTAAAAAATAGACTCAACCATTTTTGAAAATAATTCACGGTAAGTGCAAGTGATCTATGAACCTACCATATCATTAGCTGGGCGTTAACTTCCGCACTGGTGGAGGGGGCACAGTTATCTGGCTCATTGGTTGTTGTGCCCTTGTCGCTTTGCTTGTCAAGTTCATTGATGAGCTGTTTTGCAATCTGGTTCAAAGGTGAAACATAAAAATCCAAATTCAGTATCACTGCTACTTGCAAATATGACTGATCAAAAGATGACACAATGGATTGTTGCTTTCATCCCATGGCTGTCGACTAGTTATTAGCAACTTAACTGCTAATGTTTATGTGGGCAGGCGGTGCAAACTGCTAGCATTTTTATGCTGTCCACTTAATCACTCGGGTGCTACTTGACACAGAGTTCCCATGTCCGGTTGTTTAACACATACCTTGTCAAGAAAAGGAACAGAGAATGGGCAGAATTCCCGGCAAAAGGCAAGAATCTGGTCTTTTAACTGTTTGAATTCCATTTCCTCGATGACTTGATGCTTGTTGCTTCTCTGACGGATGAGATCCATGAAAATCTTTTTCTAAGGGGCAAATTATTTATTTATTACATTCCAGGGTCAATGAGGGTGTCATTGCCAAACTTGATTTGACTTTTGTCACACTGTGCCCTAATTAGCGAGTTTGTCTTCTCTCCAATTAGGTTAAAAAAAAAAAAGACAATAAAGCAGTTTCATTGCCAACATGGCAGTTTCGAAAGAGAACTCACCTTGGCAGATTTAGGAAAAAGGCGCAGCACCTCTTTTGCTTTATCAAACTCTTTGTTCTTAATGAAAAGCTTCACAAGCTGAAGACAGAGACAAAACACAACTTAGCTTACCTTACATCTAAATGTAAAATGGAATCAGACTTTGTCATTCAAGTTGAGGCTGCCTGTTTAGTTTTTACGTGGTAAAATTAAGAGGTTACATTTCAAAGTTTATGATATTGTAACATTACTTGAAACTAAGGCTGAATGATTTAAAATAATGGAATAATGATCGCCCCTCCTCCAATATTGTGATTGTGATTTAATATTTGATCATTTTTTTTTCAAAGTCCTCTTCCAGGGAAGGGCAATTAGTTGAAATTTCATCGCAAATTGGATTTTTGCTTCTCTCAATCTTAAAAACATAATCAAGAACAATCTGGATTTATTTTCATTTATTGTTTTTTATTGCAATTATTTAGTATATTCTTGTTCCAAATTTATTTTCTGGCATATTATCTTTCAAATTTAGTTTTCAAGGATTGAAGTAATTTTGATTGTTGTACCAACACATATTTCCACATGATATGTCACAAGATAAGACAGCCGAGGTCTCAGTTTAGCCCAGTAAGTCCCAAGAACTTGTGAAAATAAAAACAGAACAACAAAATAACCTGAACTGAAGTCATGAATCAGATTATATAACACAAGTTTAATGAAACAATATGTGAAGGAGTAGACTGCACTTGACACTATGTAAATAAATAAAGAAATATACCGACCGACAAAAATGAAGCAGCGTTGTGTGTGTCCCCCCCCCACCCCCCCAAAGTTGCAGCCTTTGCACTTTGAACATTGCATTGTACGACATTGTGATGTCGATTTAAATTCCATCAATTGCTGAGCCATACTTTTTATGAAGACATTTCAACACGAGAAGCAATTTCTTTTCTAGTTCCATTATTTCCTGGGGGAAAATCTGTTAGTGACCAACAAATTGGACCAGTGACCATTGTGTTGAACTGTACTGGTACCACTATATGAGGATTAAGTACATGTTATGCACGTATATTTGGAGATCATTGTGTTCACATACCATCTCCTTCACTAAGAAGCAAATATTTTTCAAGGCCTTTTGTGAAACATCACTTGTCCCGTGCAGACTTTCCAGCAGCGTAAGGGCTGATTCCAAAGGGCATAGTGAACCATTATTCTCAAAAGTCATATCTGAAATGACAATATAATAACTGCAGTTTGGCCACAATGCAAGTAGGGTAGACACATACATATTTCTAAGCCCATAGCCAATTTTTTCAGATGAGGAAGTATTGCCATGTTCTCACTGTTCTTCTATCGGTGTGTGGTGCATTGATATGACAACCACGAAACACACCACACACATACATGCACGCGCGCACACACACACACACACACACACACACACACACACACACACACACACACACACACACACACACACACACATTTCTGTTGTAGTATCAAGATTAGCCTGTGAGAGGCAGCAGAGTGCTAAGGGCCATTTATTTGGACCGACCGAATATACAAAGAAGAAAAAGTAGTACTGGTAGTCAAAATAAAAGCTCGTCCTACTCTTAGCTTATATTGCAATTACAATGTGGTGACTAACTTCTTTTGCATGTAACCTGCTTTACTGGTGCAAATTCATGGCAGTGCCTAAGAATGAATAAATTGCAGTCTCACCGAGTTTTTCACCCTCATTTACCCGGGAGAGTAACTGCATTACAAAAACCTTTTTTGGCATCACATCACTTGCTGCCACAGGACGGGCCATGATACCTGCAAAACACAGATATAAAATGTATTTGTATAGCACCTTTCAAAATTTACTGTATTCATTTTATATGAATATTATGGATGGAATCTATTTTTTTTTAAACAATGAATTTACTTGTCACTAGACATAGGTCGGTATCAAATTCTGATGACCTTGTTTGTCTTTCTTCTGAATAAATACAGAAATAAATACATTTAGAATAAACCCCTGAGAGCTCATGTATGAAAAAGGTGAAAAGAACGGACATTTATTTCATAAACAAGTTTTTTTTTCCATTTTAGTTCTTCGGTTTCCCTTAACTATAACAACCTTGGGTATCAACTATCCCATAGTTGATAGTTACTATTGTATTTCAATTTCAGCTGTAATGTATTTTGAGATATTTGGGTACATAACTTGTTTTCCTTTTAAGGCAATCTAGTTATATTTAAACACATATTGTAGCACTTTCGATTTAAAAGAAGGAAAAATAAAGGAAACACAAATTAGGAGATCTCATTGTGCTGAAAAGATTTCATTATTCAACTACAGCTTCGTTATGACTTACTGGTTCTTGAGGATATCAAAGGCATTTACAAATTGCAACCTTAATGCAATACATGTGCACAGCAGCTTCTCCCCACGTACTATATGTCGTTTAAAAAAATTGCGATTAAAGTCATAATGTTATTTAACAGACGTCACATCTTAAACAGGAAACGTCATTAACGAAGTTCGACACTCAATAAACCCAATTTAACTAATCAAAGTTGTGTTTGGCGGTCACGCAGCAAAACAAAGCGAGTTAGTTGACACTTACTTTGGATCACTTGTCTCACTTCACAAAAGCCTTGGTATTGATCATCATCAAACAACTGTAACGCCAGTGATATATAATGATCCACAAGCCAGCGGTTGACGAGAGATTCTTCTCTTTCCGTATGTTGTTCTTCCTCCGCCATGTTCTAGCTGCAGCAACTGAACGGAGGTCGGTCGCGAAGAAACGTCTGAGTGTGCGTGCGTGTGCATGCGCTTGTTTACCCAGCCAAGGCGGGAAAATTATTATTTATAGTTTGTATTCTCCGAGTGTGGTTTGCCAGGTATCAAGAGTAATATGCGAACCGCAAAGCTATAAAAAGATAATAGAAAACTCATCAAACATATATGCAATCGCCTTGTAGAGTTTTGGGTTTGTGCTGTTATCTGCAAAAAAAGCCAAATGAAGAGAATAAAATTACCCTGACAGATTCAGATTAGGGACGTGTCATTGTGTGAAATACTTCCGGGAGAACCTTGGTCAATGATTTCGAGAGCACACGATTCATTGCAACGCCCCCACTGGCTTGGAAGAAGAAGTCAATCAATGAACCTCTGTTTTCGTCGGAATTAATTTTAATTTGACATGTCGAATTGATTATTTGGTTTGATTACATTTGGCAAGTAGAGAAACTCGGTATTTTGCCTGGCATTGTCAAAAGTACAACCTGTAACTCCTTAATTTATTCATCGTTCATATAACAAAGGTGAAACTCAGAAATTTAAAACGGAACTTTAATATCATCATTTAAATGTTTATTTAAAATGACATTTAACATGACATAAGATTGACACATATATTTAATT